AACGACACTTTTCACAACAAAATTAATTGGTCCTTAAAAAATAATTTTATCCTTAAATTTTGATCTCTAAAATTTTTATTTGTTGTAGTGCTGGTTTCACTTTCAATTATTGTTAAAGAAAAAATGTTTATACTCTAAGCTTAAGTTTGTTTTGAAGGATTAGGGGGTGAGATTGGACTATTAGTCCCACCGGATGAATAGTCCATTATTTGTTTCATTTTTTTTGCTCCGGACTAATAGTCCCCCCGGACTATTAGTCCCACAAACATGGGACTATCCTATCCCATGGGGGAGGGTGGGATAGAAACCATGGGATTGGTATCCCATGGAATTATTTTGTGAAATGTCTATTTTACCCTCCATGTTATTACTTAGCAAACAATTAGAAAAGGATAAAATATTCTTTTGAACATTTATAAATTATTTTTTTAGTGTTGTTAATTTAAAACTGTATATTAAATAAAAAAATTTAATTATAAATTATAAATTATAAATTTCATTTAATTAAAAATAATAAATTATAAATTATGGCCTTATAAATTAAATTTTTTTTAGTGTTGTTAAAAAATTAAATTTACATATTAAATTAAATTATTTTTTTAGTGTTGTTAATTTAAAAATAATAAATTATAAATTATGACCTTATAAATTAAATTTTTTTAGTGCTGTTGAAAATTTAATTTATATATTAAATAAAATTATTTTTTATTGTCATTAATTTAAAATTATATATTAAATAAAAAATTATAAATTATAAATTAAAATTATATATTAAATAAAAAATATAAATTATAAATTTAATTTAATTGAAAATAATAAATTAAAATATTAAAATATTGTGCAAAAAATAAAATAAAACAAATTTTTATTTAATTTAGTTAAAAATAATTAAAATATTAAAACTATGTTTAATATTGCTATTACTTAGTACATAATTGAAAAGGATAAAATAATCATTTGAGCATTTATCCTACTCCATAATATCTCAAACAAATATTAGATAACTAAAAATAGTCCAATCTAGACATCTAATCCCATGACTAAACAAACATAGGATACAAATTTAATCCAACCCAATAGTTCTGGGACAATGTATTCCAGGACTAATAGTTCGATGGATTACAATCCCCCTTATCCAGTCCGTCTAAACAAACGCACCCTAAAAGGCTTAATGAAGAATGTTTGACATTTAAATTATGTTTCAACCCTGCAACTGATACACCATTTTACCAAAATAAACCATGTGAGGGTGTTGTAATTTTTTTTATTATTTTTTTAACATATGTAAGTTGCTATTCAAAACACTAATCAACCTTGTCCCATTTCATTTTCTAAAGCATATACATTGGTTGATGGGCTCTAGAACATCAATTTGGGCTTAGAAAAATGTCTGGACTTGTTCCAGTTAGGGTTATTCTGGCCCATATTCATTTATTTATTTATCCAGCTCATTCTATTTTGAAACTGAAGAAGATCAGAAAGTATCGCATAGGTCTGGTACACCATCTGGCCGTGTACACATTCCCTCGTAAGGGTATTAATGGTATTTTTGCACTTGTGATGTGTTGTAGTAATTTTCTATATATGTATAATTGAGAGGAGGTGGGTATCTTTTGTAATTTTTTTTTAAAGAAAATGAGTTGGACCCATTTAAGGAGGCACCTCCTTTGACCCCCTCTGTCTCTGATTGGTCAGTTTTTCTTTTTTTTCTTTTTCTTTTTTTCCTTCTCTTCCAATTATCACCCGCCACATGTGTGTGAGGGTGGTGGGAGTGGTGATTGAAGGGGGTTTCAATCACTTCCCTTTTTGTTATAAGCAGGAAAGCTCCTATTGCCTTAGAAAAGGAGCCAAAAAATTTATTTTTTTTTCTATTTCAAATTTAAACTATCAATTTCGTTTATTTGGTTCACACAGTTTCTAATTTCAGCCAAATTGCTCCAATTGGAAATAGTTTTCAAATCAATAGACATTAAAGTCTAATTTGATGGACTCAAAAAAAAAAAAAAAAAAACATTTAAAATTGAACAATTTTAACCATATACAACCAAACACTGTACTACTTTGAAATTAGGAGCGAAGTAGACTACAAGTGTTTTGTTTTAAGGTGTAAGTTGTCTAATATAGTATGAGTAAAATAATTAGTATCTAATTGCATAATTTAAATTGTGTAAACTATAAAATTATTTTTTTGCTAGTTAGGCTAGGATTTGACCATTACTGCTTTGGATGGTCCGTCTCCAATTAGATCATATGACATGAAATAAAAAAACCTCTAGGACTAAATAGATCAAATATATCTTCAATTGGACCGTGCCATATATATGAACTGAAATTAGAAACTTTAAAGATTAAATAGGTGGAATTAACTATTTAGAAATGAAAATAAAAAAAGGACAATATTATAAGAGATAAAATTAAAAATAACCTCTCTTCTTTTTCTTTTTCTTTTTTTTTTTTCAGTTTCATTAAATGCAAAAATGGGCTTTATTTTTTTTTCAAATTTGGTAAGCAGTTGCTCTCTAAGAATATCTTAATACCACTATTATCTCCCTTCTCTTGAAAAAAACACAATATGCCATATTGCAAGTTATAATTTGTAAACATTAATTGGTGTCAAATTTGGGTGAGTGACAAGAAAACCAACTTGCTTTCATCGTATTATCTACATGAAAGAGTAATTGTTTATATTCATAATGACAAGAAAACCCTCTTTCCAACCTCTCTCTTTAGTTTTTTTCCCTCTCTTTCTCTTTCTAAAAACCTCCTCCCCGGGCCTCTCTTTGGGCCGGCCGGCCGCCACCTTTGGCTATGGCGGTCGGCTGGGCTAGCTTCTTTCGTGTTTGTTTGTTGTCTTCCCGTTAATAAACTTGAGTCCCCCATTATTTTCCCACCTAGGAGTGTTTGGTGTGCTGCGGTGTTTTTGTTGGTGTTTCCAGGCCGTTCTAGCATATCTCTTCGGGGTATTGGTGTGTTGTTTTCAGTTGGGGACGTCCAGAACTTCACTCGAGCGCTCTTTTGTGAGGTGGAGCTTGAGCGGTGAACTCTTGTTCAGATTTTTGGAGAAGGTTTGATGCTTGGTTTGGGCGGAACTTGGGTGTCGGAGGTGTTCCAGATCTGTCTGGTTTTCACTCGAGCACTTCGCTTCGTGTGAGAGTTTGAGGGGTGTTAGGAGAAGACCTGGAGAAGGAAAATTATTTGTTGGTTGGTCGGTGCTTGGATTCCCAGTGGGTTCGGTGTGCTGCGGTTCGGGTGTTCCAGCAACTGTGGCGTGGGGTGGCTTGTTTGGCAGTGAGCAAGAACTGTGGGGTGATGTTCAGTGGGTGAGTTGATTGTTGGGTATTGTGTGGGCGGTGTTCTGCAATGACTGGAGCTGCAATGTGGGTGATGATCTGCATTGGTGGAGCTGCAATGTTGGGGCTGAAATCTCAGGGTCTAGCAGGGGAGTTTGCCGGTGGTGAATGTGGATTAGCGACTTAGGAGTGGTTGGCCGGATTAGCAGCAGGTCTGGCGGAGTGGACTTCGGGAGATGGGAGTTGGCAGCAGTAGGCGTGGGCTAGGGTGGCAGCAGGCGTGGGTAGCAGGCGTGGGCAGATTGAGGTGTGGTCTTGGAGAGTGGGTGGTGATTTGACTTTAGTTTGGGTGGTTCGACAGTTTGGGAGTTGGGTTTGTTTAGTTTAGTTTAGTTTGTTTTGGGTGTTTTAGTGGGTAGATTATGTGGGGATTCATGTCTTTATTTTCTTGTTAAGTCTTTCTTAACTTTTTTATGTATTTATTTAAAAAAAATTGAGAGGCTAAGGGGTTGGTTGTATGGATGCGAGTAGCAGTAGTAGGGGTATTTCGTACTTTTCGAATCTCTCTCGATGCATGTCATTTTCCTGTACTCTTAATTTCATGCTGTTAAATGAAATTTTTCTTTGCTAATCAAAAAAATGATGCATATATCTGATTGCAGAAGAAATGAGAGGGGGGGAAAAAGGAAAAAATCACACTATGCAATGTTAAGGGAAAAGGAAAAGCTAATTACAACCATAGAAGAGGGAATTTTGGCAAAATTTTACTCACAATCACATTTGTTTTTTTTAATGGGAGAATGATGGTTCTAAAACTGTGATTGAGTTATGGATTTAAGTAGAGATTTAAAAAGAAAAATGTTAAAAAAGTAAAGAAAATTTAAATGAAAATAAGTTAATTTTTTTTTTCTCTATTTATGATTATGACCCCAAATTCTTATTTAAATCTATGATTTAAACACAACGTAATAGAACAAACTTTGAAAGAATTCCATGCTTCTCTAATTGCAAGTCATTCTTTGTACAAATAAAACTTGAAATATGAATGAAATATATGCTTGATTTTTTTCTTCTAAATCTCTATTCAAATCCATAGTCTAAATACAACGTAAAGATTGTTAATAAGAAGAGCTAATGCTAAAATATTTATAATCTCAATACATAATTCACATATTCCAAAATAATCTAACATATTTTAATATATATATATATATATATATATTTTCAATACTAACAATAGCATATAATAATTCAATTCATTAACAAGAAGGTGCCAAGAAATTAATAGAGTAATTTTTAGCCAAACTCCTATTTGCTGCATGAGGAATCAATTGCAACAATTTCTAAAAAGCATTAAGGGTCATGAGTGATAAAGATTTGCTAATAAGATTTAAAATTTTGAGTTTAAGTTATTGCAAGAGGTACTGCAAGTTTGCCATATCATTTACTTCAGGATACTGAGATTAATTGAGATGTGCATAAACTGAGTTAAACACCTAGTTATCACAACAACAAAAAAAAACATGAAGTTTGTGTTTGGTTCATGAATTTGAGAAGGGATTTAAAAATGAAAAGATAAAATGTAAGTGAAATGTGAATGAAATATAATTATATCTTACATACATTTTTTCATTCTCCTTGAGAAATTATTCAATGCTCCAAGAGTATTACGCCATTCCATTTAGAGATTAATACTTAACACTTTATCTCTTAAAAGCCTAACACAAAAATGGTAAATCTCATGATTTAGACAAATAATTACACATTTAGAGCATCACCTAAACTTAATTCAGGTCAATCAATAATTCATCCGACTCAAAATCGCTTAAAAGTTTCCACTTGTTTGGGCGATAACAAACACATGTCTTACAAAGCATAATTTCACAATGCTCGCATTTAAAGGCTCCATTACCACCGACAATATGTCTATTACAGACGTTGCATCTAACCCTCATGTATGTGGCTTGAATCAAAGTGAGGGGGTGTGGGTGACAGGTGTACGTATGTGTGGCCCCCAACTTGGCGTTTGGAAATTCCTTCTTTCGAATGCATTTAGCACAAGCCGATTTGTCGCAATAAGTACAGTGGTAGAACCACCACTCTGGGTCTACTTCATTCTCGCAAAATTCACACCAATACTCATCTGGACCATTTTCAATAGGAGCATAAGTTAGGATGAAGGGATGTTCATCATACCTGTGATTAAATATACTCGGTAACAAAGCACATGCACAGTGTAAGTTGAAACTGCAAGAGCTTATGCCACATCCAAATGACAACCTTCCACAGCTTTGATCACATGCAGCACAACCTTCATTGCCACCAATTTCCTGTAGAATGAGGGGGTGCTCATGAGCTTTATGCATGATGGAGTTCGGTAAGGAAGCACACTTAACATCGAGTTGATAACCATTGCGCGGATCACCACCGCCCCAATATTTGGGCGAAAACTGAAATCCGATGCAATCTTTTGTTGCACAACCGTCGCAATTGAAAATTTCATCTCGAACTAATCTGAACTTATCGGCTAGCTTGGAACACCATTCGTGGACAAAGAAATTACACTTATTGCAATTGTAAAATGAAGCATTGATGGGTTGCACACACACGTCACATATTTTGTCAATATTCTGCTTATTCAAAATAGACAATTCGCTTCCCGATAACAAATCATTGTTGTCCAGATTACAAAGAGTTAATGGATGACTATGGCTAAATTGTTCTAGTTTTACCTCTCTATTGTTGTCATCCAAGTTCATCTGCTTCACAAATTGGGCAATTAGGTTGACTGATTCATTAGGCAGTAGTGGTAAGTGAATCAAAGTGGCCATATCAAGACCCTCAATCTTGATTGTAGTATTGCTTTCCCTAAATCTACAAAAAGTAACAATAAAACGTCAATCAAATGAAGAAAAAAGCATTGTCAAAATTTTTAATTTATTTATTTTCTCAAAACAAGTCGAAGTTAAGGTCAAGGTAAGAGCTTACTTTGTCTTTGTCCGGCAATTCACATGAACATAATATCCGCATATTTTGCAAGAGTAAAGCCAAAAGTTTGTGTTCAACTTTTTCTTGCAAATATTGCAACAATAACTGAAGGTTTCATCTTCAGAAAACAAAGTGTAGACGAGCTTGAGATCGTGAACATGGCCTCTGTGTTTGATGGTGGTTGGTGAGGAAGCACAATCCTCATGGATCCAAAATGTGCAGGAGCTACACATATACGAGATGCCTTCATGTTTTGTGCCACAAGCGTGACATTCAAAGGAGGCCGAGCTGAGAACGAGACTTAATGGATGTTTGTGACTTTTGTGTTCAACAATTTGTGTTTTCAAAGCACAATTTATGTCGAGGTGGAAACTGCACCAGGAACAACAATAGTTATATGCATCTGAAATTTTGCCGCAGCAATGACATCTGTAGTGTTGTGGATGGAGTAATTTAAGAGGGTGTTTTGGGTGCAATGGATGTGTCATCTCGTTGGGTAGTTCGGCACATAATTTATGCAAATAGATAGAACAATATGTGCATCCATACGCAGAAGAACCAACGATTTTTTGACAACATCCCTTGCAGAAAATTTCCTCATCATCATCATTATCGTTCTCCTCTTTAATGGGTGTCGATCTCAATGTAAATAATGGATGATGATGGTATTGTGGAAACCTCGTCCATGTGGGTGGTTTTAAACAAACTTTGTGCAAAAAGAAGGAACAATTTCTGCAACAATATGCAGAACCTAAGATCTTTCGACAACATCTATTGCAGACAATTTCCTCACCATCAGCCGCCTTCTTTTTACTGAGGGTCAGTGGATGCGGATGGTTGCAATGTTCAACCTCCATATCTCTCTCTCTCTCTCTAGGTTTGTGCAAGTTCAAAATGGCGGAATTACAAATGGAGCTACAGTCCACTGATTTTAACAATCAATTTTTAATTTTTTGTGGGGTTAAATTTATCAGTCCCGCTGCATACCCCAGTGGGGGTCGCGCCCCCAGTCACGTGGCGTGTCTCCACTGGCTGAAAACTCAAAAAAAAAAAAAAAAAAAAATTTTTTTTTTGGACCAATCCCGGAGTGACACTTCACTGGAGGTGGACCCCATTGGGGTGGGGGCAGGAAGCATTTTTGTAAATTTATTGCCTTGACAGCTGGTTGAAAGGTACAGTGGAGTTAAATTTATTGTCTTGACAGCTGGTTGAAAGGTACAACATCGTTGAAAGAAGATTAATATATGAATTATCAATTCAATAATTCATGTTAGGTGCAAGATTCTTATAATATTCCTGACATTCCTCTAGAGTTAAATACTCTTATGTTAAATTTCATTTAGGATATCAAAATTCAACTTCAAATTTGATAGTAGGTGTAACTAAACATCCTATTTTAATCTAAAAAAATAAAATAAAATAAAAAAATAAAGTGCAGATTTCATTTTACTCATTGTCTTCATTCTTCCCTCTCTAACTTCTCTCTACATTCTCTTACGTTTTCCTTTACTTTCTTGGTGGCTAAACACCACACCTTTACTCCACCCTTACACCGCCACCTTAACCCACCATCTCCACCACCGCCGGCCACCTTATCTCGCTGGAAAAAGGGTCCAGTTGGCCACTCCTTCACTCCATCGAAAAATAACACAATAGAAGTACCAATTTTAGATTTTTCTTAGTTTTTTGAAGAATCAAAGTTTGGGATTTATTTTCTTGATAGATTAGAGGCTTTTAATTGATAAAAATCTTTCTCTAAAAAGTTTAGTTTAAGGTTTTACATATTTTGAGTTAAAGTTGTTGATTTTTTTTTTTTTTCTATTTTAGATCTGTTATGATTTTGGGTTTGATTGTTGAGGTTTATACTCTCAATTAGTTTCTATGAATGTTTTACATGTAGAAAAATGATCAATTTGATGGTTGTTTTGGAGATTGAGATTTGGGTTAATCTAGGGTTTGAATGTGATGTAAAAAAATTGGGGATTTTAGTGTTAAGAAATTTATATGTTGAAATTGATTTGATAAATGATGGTTTGAGTATCTTTATGTTCTATGGAGAAATTTTTATAAATGATTGAAGTGGTTTTACTTAAGATGTTGAGTTTATGAAAAATGTTGATTTTTGACTTTTGTAGTTAATTGATGGTGGTATTGTGCATATAAATTGGTTGGATATTTAAAAAGTTAATAACTCAAAAATGTACAAAAGATGGGTGTTGTGGAGATTGGATAAGTTATTTGTTTGGGTAATTTGAAGTTGGAGAAGTTCTTTAGCTTGTCATTCCATAGCATGATTTATTTAGGATCAATTTTGTAGATGTTGTAATTTTCATTGAAATTTTTTTCCTAATTTTAGATCCTTTTTACTAGTTGTTAGGATTGGAGGAAGGCATCTTTACACCTCTTGGGAATTAATTCGTAGAGTTTCAAATCAACGCTTTTGCTATTTTGGAGGTGAGTATACTTACCATGGAAATTATCTTACCTCTATCTTTATTACAAAATTTGAAAATATTTTTGAATTAAAGGAAGTGAATGATGCATTTCATCATGATATGTGTATAAAAAGAAAATCTATAAATCTATTGAGGCCAAGGGTTGAGTTTAAATAAATACATGATTTCATTTGTATAATGAAGCATTAATTTTTATGAGAATTCATTAAAGTTGAGTCTTTCCAATTTTATGATGATGATTATTGAATGACAATGAAACGTTATGCGAGAGTATTTATTTTATTGATCATATAATCGAATATAGCCTTTGGGGCCACAAGGGCCAAAATGCTTTGGCGTCCTGTCACCACCTAAGTCGCGAGGTAATGTGACCCTAAGGCTATGTAGTGGTTCGTATGATGGACATGAAATCTTAATGTAGTGAAAAGTTGTATTTTGTTTACTTTCATTATTCAAATGTATTTTTTTTTCTACCTTATGAGATTCCTTGGAAAAATCTTGATAACGGTTTATGAAAATTTTATTTTTATTTATTTATTTTTATTTTGTATAAATTTCAGTCCAATTAAGCTCTTGTGTTTATTATCTTTATTTTGAACCCAATTAGAAGGAGCAAGTTTTATAACTCCATGATATTGGTATACTCACTGGGCTTTAGCTCATTCTTTTTAAATATTTTTTTTTTTTCAGATTCCTAGACTTTTGTGTGGCTCGCCTCAACTTGGAAGATTAGAATTTTTTTGAAGGATCAAATGTGGGCATTGTGTAGTTGAGGTTTTGCTTAGGGTTATTGTAGGATGTAGTTTTATCCTTTATTGTTTTTTTATGAAGGAGGTTGATTGTAAATATTTTCTTTATGAAGTTGAATGTATTGATGGATTTGTGAATAGTATGTTTTATTTTTGGGGAAGTAATGCTTGGGAACTAGCTTGTAGTATGATGATATTTTTTGTCTTTGAATGGATCATCTCATATATGTTGGCCAATCGAAAGGTCTTATGCACTTTTGGTGATGTGGTGATGTGATATAAGAATTACACAGATGATTGTTGTGTATAGGTGCTATAGCATTTGAAGTGCACCCTCTTGGTGGAGTTTTGCCTTGCCAAGATTGGGTTGTTACAATTCTAGAGGAATTTTATCCTACTTTATTATTGTAGCAACCATTTTAAACTTTTCATAGAATATGATATTGTTCCACATTAATAATTATTTATCACCTCTAATAAAGTAGGATAATATATGATCATAAAAAATTACAGATCTCACTATAAAAAAAAAATGACAATTAAAAAAAAAATCCTAGAGTTTGAGGTTTGCAACAAAATAAACTCTGAGTTTTTAATTTTTTCAATTTAAATCATAATCTTTTGATTTGATTTGATTTGATTTCAATCTAAACCATTTGCCTATTTTTGTTAAGTAAAATTGACAGGAAAAGAGTATTTTAGTTATTAAATTCAATGTAATTGGAGAGCGTTGTTCGGCTGTTTAGGGCTTTGATTCGGGCCCATTTCGATAATCCAATGTGTAGAATTCATCGAGTATATCATTTTTGCAAAAAATCACAGCGATCGGATATGTATAGTCACTTGATCAGATCACATTTTTATCACAATTTATTTTGAAAATTATGCATGCATATTGATGGAAATGTGATCTAATGAAATGTCTATTGATATCCGATTAATTTGATTTTTTACAAAGGTTGAATGATTTAGATTATCGAGATGGGATCAGATCAATACCCAAAACAACCGAACAACGCTATCCTCTCATTCCATTGAGATTGACAACCCCTTCAACAACACAATAAGTTAAAACGAAATATTACAAACATCATTACTGGACATATGATACACAACCCCCCAAAAAAATGTGTATCATAAAATTTCTATTTTTTAAACATTGTTTCAAATGTAACAATAGCCTAATATAATCCAATCCAAAAAAAAAAAGTAAACATTGGAGATGCTCGGTAAAAGGCAATTCCAACCATATGATATGAGAGGAAATTTTGGCACTCATAATCGTATTTTTTAACGGAACTTGCTAATCATGAACCTAAAATTGTATTTGAATAATAAATTTATGAATAAACAGAAATACAAAAAGTGAAAATATGACTGTTAAAGGCGATTTGCAAACTACAAACTGACGGGATGATCCGGAATGCTCCAAAGAGGAGGTTGATCACCTGATTCGAAGTAAAAAGAAAATTAAAAGCTCAATTGATCGACCAGAAGATGATCTATTGAGGAATTTGCTCCAAATGAAAAAGAGGAAAGGGAAGTGTGAAGCCCTAGATCCTCTACCAAAGAAGCAAATGCGAAACAAGCTACTGACAAAAGGGAAACCATCAGTATCGATCAGATGGAGGGCATAGAGGTAACCAACGAAGTAGCTAAATCTTTCAAGCAAGCCCTGCTAAGATCGAGATTTTCTGAAAATGGCAACGAGAAAAATTTCAACTATAATGTTGAGGAAATTTCTTCGGATGAGGATGAAGCTGCTCTTGAAGGTGAGGAACAGCAAATGGATGACGAGGTAGCTAGGACTAGAATTCTGAAAGTTAGTATTCCACCAAGCCTCTTGAAGAAAATTCGGGAACCATGGGAAAAGTGCTTGATTGCACGACTATTGGGGAAATCCATCGGATACAAACTATTTATGGTCAAAATGACCAAAATATGGGGGCTACAAGTTGACTTTGAAGCATTGGATATTGGTAATGGCTTCTTCATTGTCAAATTTGATATGGCTGATGATTATAACAAGGTGTACATTGGGGGACTGTGGGTTGTCATGGATCACTATGTTACAGTGAGAAAATGGCAACAAGATTTTAAGTCAGATAAAGCAGAGGAGGATACCACTACGATTTGGGTGCAATTCCCTAACCTTCCGATTGAGTATTACAATGAGAAGGTCCTCTACCATATTGCTAAAATGCTAGGAGTCCCCTTAAAGATCGATATCAACACTGCTATGGCTGTGAGAGTAAAATATGCAAGAGTTTACATAGAAATGAATCTTAGACAACCATTAATTCCTTATTTTTCTATAGGTAACCACACTTATAGAGTTGAATATGAACATTTGCACTCATTGTGTTTTTTATGTGGCAGGTTTGGGTATCAGAGGGAAGTATGCAGTGACAGAGCCATCCCGGTACCGGGGAGGATAGAACAACCATTGAATAGAGATGGACACCAGATGACTAAAGCTCATGAAGCCAACGGGCCAAGCCCTAGGGAAGAGGAAATGACAGACCTAAACTCAGGGAACTTTGGCCCTTGGATGATGGTTCAAAATCAGAAAAGGAAAAATAGAGGCCCAATGAGAGCTAATCCAGTGGCCCAAAAGAGTAATAGGTTTGCAGTGTTAATTGAGAAAGGAGGAAAAGCTGGAACTAAAGCCCATTCGGGCAAGGAGAAAGGTAGAGGAAAAGTCCATGGACATGTGGGCTTAACAAGCAATTGGACTAAAGCAATAGAAAAGAGTAAAGTGAGTACTACCATTGAAATGGCTAAAAAGCAACTAGGTGAGGCAGGTAGCCTGGAGAAAAAAGGCGTATCTGACAGGAGGATACGAGATCAAAAAACAGAAATAGAAAAATGTGAGATATCTAATCTGCAGAGAGCCACCAACCAACCAGCTGTTATTTCTCACCAGGCCATTATTTAACTAGCCAATCCAAGTAAGGACTTGGCAAGTACAAGGAACAGGGTGGAAACCTCAAAACCCAAGTCCAGAATCCCTCCGGACAAAAATAGAGGAGACATGAGAGAACCACCCGACCGAGGTGCACGATCTGGAGCAGAACAGAGTAATGGTGAACATGTCCCCAGGGAACGAAGTGTTTCACCTCATCACCTCCGTATGGTGGAAAGAGGAAGTAAAGCTGAGGGTAGTGCCTTGGAGGCAAATATTAGGGAAACAAGACATGCACTATATCTCAATGATACCTCTCAAGACACTGGAAGAGAATCACAAAGCCATATGGGGCTATCTGGGAATTGACAACCAGGAAACCTTACCTGATCAAGAAATTCCATCAATGGATTTGCTCATTTGGAATTGTAGAGGAGCAGGCAACCACAGATTCAAACGGAATTTGAGGGAGTTAGTTCAAATTCACAGACCAGAACTGATGGTACTTACGGAAACTAAAGCGGAATTCAAAGAAATGGGAATGTTCTTCAATTGTATGGGTTTCATAGCCTCAAGCCATGTGGATCCTACCGGTCGAAGTGGAGGAATTTGGATGCTCTGGAACCCCAATGTTGTTAATGTTCGGGTGGTAGAAGCTAGCTCGTAACAGATTACAGCGACCATCTCAAGGCAAGATTACCTCGATTGGCTGTTATCAACTGTCTATGCTAGCCCAAGTAGTGTCAAGAGAGATGAACTTTGGGAACAACTGGAGGCCATTGCTCAACACGCGAATGACCCCTGGTTAGTTGCTGGAGCTTTTAATGATTTTACCTCCCCTAATGACAAGAGAAGTTTCCATGGAAGGAGTCACCAGACCTTAAGCTAAGACTAGAGGAGGAGTAGAAAGTTCAATGATAGAATTGACAACTACAAGCTGATGGAACTGGGATGTGCAGGACCAAGACTGACCTGGTCCAATAATAGGAAAGGTTGGGTGTAGACGTCCCCGAACGCCCCAGGAGGAACGAGTCCCCCGTTCTATCCATTTGGGGTTCACTACAGTTCGGACTCTCAAATTGTCACGGTTCTAAATCTGAACCAAAGAGTCCAAATCCGGCAAATCGTTTTGAGTAAACAGATTTTGAAAGAAGTGCCAAACATGGACTGCTTTGCCAGATACAGAGTCGCCACCTAAATATTTTATTTTGGAAAATTTAGGAGGAAAACCCTGACTCGTTTGCTTAAGGCCACGTGTCAGTCATCACCAAAGTTGCCTCGGCTCGGGAACTTTGGGTACGATTGGGGAAGGTCACTTCGTGAGCACCCCCGCTCGCCCGATCAAAGATCGGCCTCTACTAACCATGATATCTATTTTTGAAAACATTATGCGTTCTTATTCCGGTTATTAGCCTAGATTTACTATGTGATGCTGTCACGACCCAAGCCCGGCCCTATGGGTTTAGCACCGTAACCGGCTAGTAATCCGAGATTACCGAAGGCCTGTTAACAGTAGTACAGTAAAACAGAGTTCAGGGCCCGGCGGAAGCCAATACAATAAAAATAATGTCCATTGAGCTGTGACAGTCTGTATGCCAAAAAGATTTTTCATGCATTCATACAGACAAACAGTACAGTCTATACAAAGTTTACAGTCACACAGTACAGGGACCTAATCCCTTGATAACAGTACAGTTAGTAGCTGACAGTCTATACAGTAATCCAAACAGTATGGAGACAGACGGGGGAAACAAAAACACCCCAAAGCCATAGCATGGCAACTCGGAACCTCGCAGTGAGCACAAAGGCTGCTTGACAAAACTGGAGTCTAAACCCACGCTCCTAGCTCCGATCTGCGTGGCTGAGCACCTACATATATATGTATATAAAACAGTGAGCTAAAGCCCAGTGAATAACATAAAGCGTAAAGGGGTTTAGAATGAATGTCCTTACAGTAATGAAAACAGTTCATTTCAATCAGTCTTTCAGTTGCTCAGTACAGTAAACAGTCATATTTGGTATATCCTTAGCATATCAGTAACAGTAGGTCTTAGAAGACCGAACAGTAATGATGGCCATCAGTCAGTAAACAGTAGTGGCTCCACGAGGGATCCGACAGAGATCTCTGTAACAGTAACGCTAAACAGTAGGTGCTAGGGATGCACAGTACAGTTCGAAAAAGGACATACATTCGTTCAGTAAATAATACCAGTTTCCGTAACAGTTCAGTTCAGTATTCAAAGAATAATCGTAATATCTTTAACACATTGTTACTCACAGAGTTTGGGCTACAGTATGCTAGAGCGTGTCTCCCCAGTCGCCAACCCTACAGTTCACAGGTTGAACACACACTAAGCTACACAGTTGGGAAATATCATAACTTAATCCCTAATTGCCTCGGTGTGTTCTACATCTATATCCTCAATAAGATGTCTTAAACTAGGCTAGGAATGCCTAGAAATGGAAATGAGGATGCAAAGATGTGATCAGGAAACAGTTTCAGAATTTCAGAAATAGAGTCCCGCTCGGAGTGCAGGTTTCCCCCGTCGACAGACATGCAACATAGGTACACGCTCGAGCGTCAACTTTCCGCTCGAGCGTACTGTAAAAGTACTGGATGGGTGAAATCTCCGCTCGACCCCGCTCGAGCTTGAGACACAAGACTCCGCTCGAGCTCCCATCCTCCGCTCGAGCGGACTGTTCTAAGTGCAAGAATGCTGGAAGCTCGATTTTCCGCTCGAGCGGCACTTCCCCCGCTCGACGGACGACTGAAATCTAGAATCCCAGATTTCGAGCTCCAGATTCAAAACCAAGCTTAGATGCATAAAATTCGATCCCTCTTGGGCCAATTTTCTGGAAAACTCTTTTAAACACATAGAATAACATGTTTCAAAACTCAATTTAGGAAATCAAAGCCAAGGGTATTTAATTTCAAACCCAATTTCCAACCATTCTTTCAAGAACAACATTCAAACATGTCATGCATGCGTTTTAAACCAAATTAAAAGCTCGAAGCTTGTTCAAATGAGCTCATTTCTTTCAAAACCAGATGAAAACATGGTCTATAACAACAATATGAGCATGCATGTACTAATGTCCATGTAATCAACCTCAAAATGCAACAATACTAACATGCATGCATGAATTATGCTCTATTTCAACATGCTAGAACTAAATTCATGGCTCACTTTCAATTTTGACATAAACCATGCAAGAATCAAGCTCAAACATCAATAAAGGTTGAATTCTTCTACCTAAGTCTTGTATTTAGGATAGGGAAGCTCAATTGTACAAAAACTCCTTCAATTCCTCAAGATCTCAAGCTAAATCAACAAGACCAATTCTCTCTCTCTCTAACTCTCTTCTTTGGTCGGTTGAGGTAACACAAAGGCTGATGAAATGTTGTTTTAATCAATTGCATTAAGTGTAATAAGGCTCAAAAGGTTTTGAGGTAGTGGGCACTACAGGCTAGTTTGGTAAATAAGTCCAACTTGGCCAATTAGCTTATTTTAATCTAATTTAATCATACCTAATCAGTTTTCAGATAAATTATACATAAAATTACATTAATTATGAGGACCATAACACAACAATACATTCCTGGATTCGGCCGCCGATAAGGCCTTCAATTAGCAGTTTAAACACTAAAACACGAACAGATCAAATAAACAATCAAACAGATAGAATACAAATTAACAGATAGACTTAGTCAATTCAGTTCCAGTTTTCAGTCAGTCAGTTTCAGTACTTTAATCAGTTCAATTATCAGTCATAATCGGTTTAGTGTAACGGTAATCAGTGTTTATCGGTAAGCAGTGGTGAGGGTTATTGCAGTCTCCCCTCCTTATAAAGAGTTTAGTCCTCTAAACTCGAGTTACCTTCGTTTGGAAGAAAACAGGATTCAGTGGAAATAGTTCAGGATAATCTTTTAGCCATGTCATCTTCCCTTTCCCAAGTGGCAATATACACACACACCATGGTTCTGACAGTCAACTTTCACTAGCGGATCTCTTTGTTTCTCAGTTTCTTCTTGATCCGTTTGTTTACAATCTGTAATAGGCCGTTCCTCGAAAGTGTAGTTATCACTCAACACTACCCGAGTAGGCTTCAATTACATGGAAGGGATCCCGGAGTTAATCTCTTAACATCGAAATGTTGGAAAAACATTATGCATGTGCTCCATTTCAGGAGGGAGCAAACTTGATACGCCACCGGATTTAATTTTCTCAATAATCTCATACGGTCTGACGTATCTTGGCGCTAACTTGCCTTTGACTCCAAAAACGAGTTTGGCCCTTCATTGGTGTCACTTTCACAAAAAACGTGATCACCCACTTCGTTACTCTCTGTCCCGTCTTCTAACATCCGCATAACTTTTTCTGTCTACTCTGTGCAGTTTTCAGTCTTTGCTGTATCAGTTTTATCTTTCCAGTCGTCTTATCGACGATCTCGGCCAACAGCAAAGGCCATCTCCAACTTCTGCTAAGCAAATCAGAGATCTACATTTTCTGCCATACAATGCCTCGAAAGGCGCCATACCAATACTCGAATGGTAGCTGTTGTTGTAGGAGAATTCAACTAATGGTAGAATGACTTTCCCAATCTCCCTGAAAATCAAGGACAACACATTCTCAGTAAATCCTCCAGAGTTTGGATGGTCCTTTTGACTGTCACATCGTCTGAGATGATAGGCACTACCTCAGCCTCAATTCAGTACCCAATGCAGTCTGTAGGCTTTGCCAAAACCTCGATGTAAACTTCGAATCCCTGTCAGAAACAATAGACCGCAGGCACTCCATGCAGTCTCACAAATTTCATCAATATAGATAACAGCCAAATTTGTCCGCATTATAGATTGTCTTGACAGGTAAGAAGTGAGTAGATTAGTCAGTCTATCAACAATAACCCAAAACGAGTCCATACCTTTACTGGAGCGAGGCAATCCCACTATAAAATCCATGGTAATATGCTCACACTTCCATTCCGGTATTGTTAGGGGCTGCAATAAGCCCTGCGGTCGTTGGTGTTCGGCT